TATTTCTTTTTGATTCTAAATTTGAAATGCAGAGAAGCCATTTTGAGTAGAAGGGTAACAACTTTAATGTCAATATGATATTAATTAGAAAGACTCTTAAAAAAAAAACTCTTTAGGGGCGCCTGGGTTGCTCAGTGGGTTAAAGCCTCTGCCTTCGGCTCAGGTCATGATCCCAGGGTCCTGGGATCGAGCCCCGCATCAGGCTCTCTGCTCAGCAGGGAGCCTGCTTCCTCCTCCCTCTCTCTCTGCCTACCTCTCTGCCTGTCAAATAAATAAATTAAAAATATATTTAAAAAAAAAACAACACTTTAATATGATAGCTGTTTTTAATATGATACTTCTGGGGTTCTTTAACATCTTACTGTTTGAAGCACAAGATACTAGTAAAATTCTGAATCTATCCAGTTGATTGGAATATTCTCTAAAAAGCACAGGGCTGGAAGTTCATGGTTCCAGCATTGCTATTAGCTTGCTGTGCAGGTTGGACAAGACAATTTTTCTGGGCTTTAGAATGCTGTTTATAAAACAAAATGATAAATCAGAGTAATCCCTAAGGCTCCTTGCAACCTTAATTTCTCTCTGTAGCCATTGACTAATGCCAGAAACATTACTTTAAAAGCCTATTTATATTCTATTTTTGACATTTTGACAAAATTACCAGTGAGTTCAAATTCCAGCCATAGGTCTAGAGATACTGTAGCATTTCACTTTTTTATACTGGATTGGTTATAGAAATTAGGAGTAAGTCTTGTCATGAGTAGCTGTGGATGGAAATAATTTTTTGCTAAGTACAAACACCAATTAGGAGTAAGTCTTGTCGTGAGTAGCTGTGGATGGAAATAATTTTTTGCTAAGTACAAACACCTGAATGAATATTGCTATTTAGGTAATATGTGCAAAGCATCATTAGTAATGCCAAGATAAATGAAACATGGTTGAAGAGTACAAATCTGGAATAAGACAGAATGAAGTTAGGACTCAGAGCTCGTTCAAATTCTAGTCCATACTTCACTTAAGCTATAAGACCTTAGGCAGATTGCTGAATTCCTCTAAGCTTCAGTTTCCTCATTTGTCAAATGGTAGTATCGTGACTGTTTACCTTGTTGAGAGGATTAAATGAAATTGTGTAAACCATTAAGTGCATGGTAAACACACAGTGATAATCATTATTTTATGGTGGAAGAAGCATGTGAGGCAGCTTGTGTAGCTGGAATGCAGAGAGCAAAGAAGAGAGTGGCGTGAAGTAGACCTGATCAGAGATGTTGGACCTTAAGGTCTAGGTTTTGAATTTTATCCTAAATGTACAGGAATCTACTGAAGGGTTTTAGGTGACATCATCCAGTTTGTAGCAGCACTGAAGAAGATGGGTGTGGGAGCAAAGCCGCTGTGGGTAGAACAGAAGGCTATTGTGAAGTACTGTTGATGGTACTCTGGATTAGAACGGTAGGACAGATGGGATATGTACATAAATGAGAATAATCTGGGAAGTAAAATCTGTCACTTGGGTGATAGATTGGTTATGGGGATGAAGGAGAAGGAAATGTGAAAAATGACTTCCAAGTACAGTATATGATCATCTTTCCTAATCTACTTCACTCTTCTTGGTTAAGTAGCATCCCACTATATGGGTATATATTTTTAATTTGAACAGTCCCCTAATAGTGATCCTTAATTTTTCTTGTATAAACACCACTGCAGCCCATCCAGTGGTACAAGCCACATACAGGCATACCTTCTTTTACTGCAGTTCACTTTACTGTGCTTTGTAGATACTGCATTTTTTACAAATTGGCTTGTGACAACCCTGTATCAAGTAAGTCTATTGGCGCTGTGTTTCCAATAGCATTTGCTCACATTGTTTTATGTCACACTTTGGTAATTCTTGCAGTATTTCAGACTTTTTAATTATTATATTTCTTATAGTGATCTGTGATCTTTGTTCCTGTTACAATTGTCTTGGAGTGCCATGAACTGTACCCATATAAGATGGCAAACTTTATAAATGCTAGGTGTGTTCTGTTCTACCCACTGGGTGTTCCCCATCTCTCTCTCTCCTTGGGCCTCCCTATTCCTAGACACAGGAATATTGAAATAAGGCCAGTAACACCACAGTGTGTTCAAGTTAAATTAACCTTCTATTCAAGTGAAAGGAATAATCACATGTCTCTCACTGTAAATCAGAATCTATAAATGATTAAGCTTAGTGAGGAAGGGCTGTCAAAAGCTAAGATTGGCTAAAAACCAGGCGTCTTGTGCTAAACAACCAAGTTGTGAACATAGAAGAAAAGTTCTTGAAGGAAAAGTACTACTCCAGTGAACACATGAATGACAAAAAAGTGAAAATAGCCTTATTGCTAAGAACAACAAAAGTTTTGATTGTCTGGATAGAGGATCAAACCAGATACAACACTCCTTTAAGCCAAAGCCTAATCTAGTGCAAGGCTCTAACTCTCTTCAAGAATTTTAGGAACGCTGAGAGAGGTGAGGGGAAGCTGCAGAAGAAAAGTTGGAAGCCTGCAGAGGTGAATTCATGAGGGTTAAGGAAAGAAGCCGTCTCCGAACATGAAAGTTTAGGGGGAGGCAGCAGGTGCTGATATAGAAGCTGCAGCAAGTTCTCCAGAAGAGCTAGCTCAGATAATTCCTGAAGGTGTCTACACTAAGCAGCAGATTTTCAGTGCAGATGAAACAGCCTTCTATTGGCAAAAGATACCATCTAGGACCTTCATAGTAAAGAAGAGAAGTCAGGATACTTGGCTCAAAGGACAGGCTGGCTCTCTTGTTAAGGAGGGGCTAATGCAGCTGTTGACTTGAAGTTGAAGCCAGTGCTCATTGACCATTCTGAAAATCCCAGGGCCTTTAAGAATTATGCTGAATCTACTCTCTCTCTCTGTTCTATAAATGGAAAAACAAATCCTTGCTGACAGCACATCCATTTACAACATGGTTTACTGAATATTTTAAGCCCACTGTTGAGAACTATTGCTCAGAAAGATGTCTTTCAAAATAAGACCGCTCATTGACAACACATCTGATTACCTTAAGAGTTCTGATGGAGATGTCTAACAAGGTTAATGTTGTATTCATGCCTGCATAAACCCCGTTCTGCAGCCCATGGATTGAGGAGTAATTTCAACTTTCAAGTCGTATTATTTAAGAAATACATTTCATAAGACTATACCTGCCGTAGATTCCTTGGTTGGATCTGGTCATAGTTAATTGAAAATCTTCTGGAAAGGATTCATCATTCTAGATGCCATTAAGAACATTTGTGATTCATGGGAATAGGTCAAAATAGAAACATAAACAGGAGTTTGGAGCATGTTTATTCCAACTCTCTTGGACTGCTTTGAGGGGTTCAAGATATTAGTGGAAGAACTGACCACAGATGTGTGGGAAATAGTAAGGGAACTAGAATTAGAAGTGGAGCCTGAATGGGGCACTGAGTGCTGCAGTCGGTAAAGCTTCCAGCTCTTGATTTCGGCCCAGGTTGTGGTCTTAGGGTCATGCGATTGAGCCCCGCATCTGCCTCTGTGCTCAGTGCAGAGTCTGTTTTGAGACTCTCTGCCTCTGCCCCTTCCTCCACTTGCACTCTCTCTTTCTCTCAAATAAACTCTTAAAAAAAAAAAGGAACCCGAAGATGTGACTGAATTGCTGGAATCTCATGACAAAACTTGAACAGTTGAGGAGTTTTTTTTTTTTTTTTTTTTTTTTTAATTTTAATTTTTTAAAAGATTTTATTTGAAAGAGAGTGAACATAAGCAGGGCGGGGGGGCAGACACTCCACTGAGCAGGAAGCCCAGTGTGGGACTTGATCCTATAAGACCTGAGCCGAAGGCAGACACTTAATCAACTAAGCCACACAGGCGCCCTGAGGAATTGCTGCTTATAGATGAGCAAAGAAAATGGTTTCTTGAGATGAAATCTACTTTTGGTGAAGATGCTGTGACAATTGCTGAAATGACAAAAAAGAATTTACAGTATTATGTAAACCTGGTTGATAAAGAAGTTCTGTGGGTAAATGCTGTCAAGTAGTATTATATGCTACAGAGGAATTGTTTGTGAAAGGAAGATTCTATCGATGTTGTAAACTTCATTGTTATCCGATTTTAAGAAATTGCCACAGCCACCCAATCTTCAGTACACTACCTTCTTGATCAGTCAGGAGCCATCAACATTGAGGCAAGACCCTCCCCAGCAAAAAGATTACGGCTCACTGAGAGTGAGTTAGCACTGATGATGGTTGGCATTTTTAGCAGTATTTTTAAATTAAGGTATGTTTATTGTTTTTTAATTAAGGTATGTTTATTTTATGCTGTATACTTAATTGACTACAGTTTGTGTAAATAAGTTTTATGTGTACTGGGAAACCAAAATCATTTGACTCACTTAATTTCAGTGGTCTGGAACTGAACCCAAATATCTCTGAGGTATATCTGTATATGACAAATAAACATAAAATGAACAAGAAAGGTTGAAAAAAAAGTGACAGTTAAAGAGTTACTAGACAAATGTAAACCGAGAGAAAGTGGTAGCCAAAAAGGAGGAATGGCAGTCTTAGGAACAGATGAGGTAGATATTAAGGTAAAAAGTAAATTAGGTGATAAGATTTCAGTATATAGAAATCTAACAAAATTACAGAAGGAGACCTTGATAAAATAGTGATAGCAGGAGACTTCTCGTAGTTGGATAGAGCAGGCTGACATAAAACAAAATCATAAAATAATAATACAACCAGTACTAAATTTAGTTTAATAGCTCTATACTAGATTTTGTAAAAACTGATCATGCATTTATTTGGCCAGATAGAAAATTATTACCTATGTTATTCTTTGATCACAGTTCAGTAAAAAATAAATAAAGGTGGCCAAAAAAAATCTAACAATCTGAAAATTTTACAGATAGGCATATAATTGCATATGAAACACTTGGATCTAAAAATTTTAAAAAGAAATTATATACCACTTGTCTAAAAAGGGATGGAAAGGGGGAACACATCTTACCAAGCACTGTGGAACATAAGTCTGGTTTGAGAAGAAAGTTAATGGCCATAAATGCGTTTATCACTAAAGAAAAAATGAAAAATAGAAGAATTAAGTACTCATTAAATTAGATTATATGAAGATAAATTACAGAATGACCAAGGATTTGAATGCAACAAAATAAATAAAACCATGAAAGTACTAAGAAAAGTACTAAGAAAGTCCTTACAAGAACTTGCTAAAAATAATCTCAGGATAGCTAAGTCTGTTCTCTGTACAACTTAAAAGTTTACAAAAGAAAAATGAATTAATTCAGTTACGTAACAAGAAAAAATAACTATTTAAAACAGGAGCAGTGTAGGGGACACCTGGGTGGTTCAGTTGATTAAGCATCCCACTCTTGATTTCAGCTCAGGTCATGATCTCAGCGTTGTGAGATCAAGTCCTGTGGTCAGGCTCTGTGCTGGGAGTGGAGCTTGCTTAAGGTTCTCTCCCTCTGTCATTTCCTGCACCCTCCCGAGCCCTTCCCAGCATGAGACCGCTCTAGCTCTCTCTCTCTCTCAAAAAAAAAAAAAAGAGCAATTGTAAAAAAACAAACTGGGAGGGGTACCTGGGTGGCTCGGTTCTTAAGCGACTGCCTTCGGCTCCGGTTATGATCCCAGTGTCCTGGGATCGAGCCCCACATCGAGCTCCCTGCTCAGCGGGAAGCCTGCTTCTCCCTCTTCCATTCCCCCTGCTTGTGTTCCCTCTCTCACTGTCTCTCTCTGGCAAATAAATAAATAAAATCTTTAAAAAAAAAAAAAGACGACAAACTGGGGAAAAAATTGCCATTAATGTCACAGAACTAATTTTCTTAATGCATAAAGGGTTTATATAAATGGATAAGTCAAAGACTTCACCAACTAAATAGAAAAATGGGTGGGTGATACAAATGAAAAGATTTGTGGTAAAGAAAGGGTTATTACTATTGTGGATATAAATCCTTTGTCAGGTATAGGTTTTGTGATTTCAGTCTGTGGCTTTTCTACTTATTTTAACCGTGTGTTTTGGTAAAGATCTTTAATTTTGAGGATTTCTCCATATGGATATCTAGTTGTTCCAATGTCATTTGCATTGAAAAGACTTCTCTTTGCTAGTTTAATTGCTTTGGCACCATTGTAGAAAGTCAACTGGCCACATATGTATGGGTCTGTTTTTGCACTTTATGCTCATTTCCATTGACCTTTGTTCTTAATGTTAATACCACAGTTTTGATTACTGTATCTTTATAGTACATCTTGAAATCAGTGTAAGATGGCTAGATTTATCCTTTTTCCAGACTGTTTTAGGAATTCTAGGTCTTGCATTTTCATATAAATTTTAGAACTAGCTTGTCAGTCTGTTTTTTAAAGAAAATCTGCTGGATTTTGATTAGGATTGTGTTTATATGTTCGTTTGGGGAGAATAGACATTTTAGTAATATTAAGTCTTCCAGTCCATGTATGTGGTATATGTTCCCTTCATTTTGGCTCTTCATTTTTCTCAGCAGTATTTTGTAATTCTTAGTATGCAGGTCTTGCACATATTTTTTAAAAACATAACATAACCCTGATGTTGAGTTTTATCAAATGCTTTCCCTGGTGTGCCTGGGTGGCTCAGTTGGTTAGGCAACTGCATTTGGCTTGGGTCATGATCCTGGAATCCCAGGATCAAGTTCCACATCAGGCTTCCTCCTTGGTGAAGAGTCTGCTTCTCCCTCTGATCTCTCCCCTCTCGTGTTGTCTCTCTCTCTCTCATTCTCTGGTGGCTCAGTCGGTTGAGCCTCTGCCTTCGGTTCAGGTCATGATCTCAGGGTTCTGGGGTCAAGCCCCCCGTCGGGCTCTCTGCTCAGCAGGGAGCCTGCTTCCCCCTCTCTTTTCTGCCTCTCTGCCTACTTGTGATCTCTGTTAAATAAATAAATAAAATCTTAAAAAAAAAACCTAAGGATTTCATATTTCTGAAACTTCTATAAATAGAATTTTTAAAACGTTACCTTCCAGTTGTTTGGTGTGAATTGACCTCATAGCCATTGACCTTACTGGAGTCACTGGTTCTAGGAGCTTTTTTGCTTTTTTTAAATATTTATTTATTTTGGAGAGAGTGAGTGAGAGAGAGCGCATGTGTACATGTTGGGGGAGAGGCAGACAGAGAAGGAGAAAGAGCGATTCTCAAGCCGGACTCTGCTGAGGACAGAGCCCAATGCAGGGCTTAGTCCCACAACCACAGGATCATGACCTGAGCTGAAATCAGGAGTCAGCCAGTTAGCCATCTGAGCCACCCAGGCACTCCTCCTCTAGGAGCTTTTTTGTAGATTGTCAGATTTTCATAATCATGTCTGTAAGTAGTGTTTTATTTCTTCCATTCTAAACTGTATGCCATTTTTTCTTGCCTCATTGCACTGGCAGGGACTTCTGTTAGAATGTCTTTGACTTGTTCTCAATCTTAGGAGAAAAGCATTCAGTCTTTCCCTACTATTTATGATGTCAATCAGAGGATTGCTGCTTCTGTTGTTTTTAAGATTCATTTATTTATTTTAGAGAGCACACATGAGTGGGAGAAGGGGCAAAGGGCGAGAATCCCCACTGACTGCAGAGCCCAGAGCAGGGCTCAGTCCCATGACCCATGAGATAATGACCTGAGCAGAAACCAAGAGTCAGAGACTCAACTGACTGAGCCACCCGGGCACCCATGTGGGATTTTTTGTAGATATTCTTGATCAGGTTAAGTAAGTTTTGCTCCTATTCCTAGTTTGCTGAGAGTTTTTAATCCTAAATGGATGTTGAGTTTTATCAAATGCTTTCCCTGCATCTAAGGAGAGGTTCCTATGCTTTTTCATCTTTATTCCTTAAATGGAACCCAGAGTGATGGAACAGCACCAATCTTGAAACATTAACAGTCTCAGGGCCACATGATGGCTCTGGAAGTTTCAGCTTGATCATGACGTAAGTTTGCTTCTGTTTACAGAGCATGGGTTAAAGCAGATCACATGATAGGACTATATTCTTCACCTGGGAGGAACAGTGAAGCTTCTGTGTACTCCTTTTATGGGGAGGACAACAAATTGGGATCAATAGTATAATCTTCCACATGTATCATTCTTAATTGTATGTATAAAGTGTGTGTTGGGGGCAAGTACCTGGGTGGTTTAGTCATTTAAGTGTACAACTCTTGGTTTTGGCTCAGGTCATGATCTCTGGGTCATGAGATCGAACCCTGCACTGGGCTCTGCGCTTGGCACAGAGTTTCCTTGAGATTCTCCCTCTCTCTTTGCCTCTCACCCCATTCATGTTCTTGAGTATGCTCTCTCTCAGAATCTCTGAGAGGAAAAAAAAAAAAAAGTGTGACAAAACGTATTAAAAAGAAAAATAATCTGGAAAGATACACACTGAAGTGTATTTTTTTCTGTATTTATTTCAAAAATTTTTAAATCGTTTCTTTTTGAGAAGAATATAAAATTTGGTCTCATTTAATATTGTATTTTAGATGTGAGTCCTTGTTTTAGATACTCACAATTTATGCATTGGAAAGGACCAGCTGTCCTCGTATTTCCTTCTGTCCACCTCACTTCTCAGGTTAATGGATGCAAAATTTGGAAAAGTAGAACTGCTAAAGTGCTTTGCTCCAAGATCATGTTGACTAGTAGAAGATTCATCTAGAGCAGGACATTACCTGAATATCAGAAAGCAAGGAAGGCTTGAGAAATACCTTGTAAGAATCTGATGTAGTTGAAAATAGCCTTGTGATTGTTTTAAACCATGGAATTAACAACAACAACAAAAAAAACCACCTCTCAAAAAATATCTGAAAAAAGAAACTCATTCACTTTTTTACAGGCACCTACTACTTTATCAACCAATCCACAACTGCGGTTTTAAATGGAAGAGTAAATATTTCTAGATTGTAAAGGATGTGTAAATAATTATTAAGGCTATTTTTCTCAATTTTGATATCTGGGAGACCTGAGGGTAGTGATAATGGTGATAGTTAAGATTTATTGGCTACATGTAATGTGTGAAAGCAGTTTTACACATCTTACATGTATTATCACTCTCAACAGCTTCATAAGGCAGATATTGTTATCTGTAATTTATAGTTGAAGAAATCAGGGAACAAAGAAGCTACAAAAATCGCCAAAGTCATCTTGCCAGTAGGTGGAGGAGGTGTAATTAACCAGACTTAACTTCCAAGCCCATGATCATAACTGTGATATGGAGTCTGTAAATAAAGAAGACTTACAGTCTGCTGTTTTCTAATACATGATTCCTTTCTAAGTAAGAACTGAGTCAAAGTCAAATGTGTACACAAGAAAATTAAGCATAAAAGTAAGAGGCTAAGCAATATTAACTACTTGAAAAGGTGTATGCACAGGTGTGTCAGGTTAAATGTGAAGTGGTGCTTTCTAGATCTTCAGTTTTCTTATTGTCTATTATGGCTTAGTAGTTACAAGCATGGGCCTTTAGATTCCAACCTGGGTTCAAATTTTGGCTTCACCACTTTCTGCTTTTATGGCCGTGGGCGGGTCAAAAGTCAGTAAATGGAAGCTACTGCCATTGTTCTTTTGGATAGTCTGTGGTGATGGCTGCATTTCTTTTTCTTCCTTTTTTCTTTTTAATTAGGTGGATTTGTTTAAAAAGAGTCTTCTGTTGATTCCTATTCACCTGGAAGTCCACTGGTCTCTCATTACCGTGACACTCTCTAATCGAATTATTTCATTTTATGATTCCCAAGGCATTCATTTTAAGTTTTGTGTAGAGGTAAGTTAATATACTGCTTGTATTTTCTTACTCATCTTGTGATCAAACAGTATCTTAGAACAGCAGAAGTCAGTCTGATAGAGCATCAGTTTCTGTCATACAGACTTTCAGAAATGTTGGGAGAGAAAAGGACTACTGCAAGAGGAATCCCCAGGTTGGGGGCAAGGTAGCTATCTGTGATCTGGATCCCCCTTCTGAGATACATGCCCTATTTAGATTTTGTCAAATATTTTCCTGCCTTCCCATAAGGCTACATTTTGTATGTGGAAAGAAATCATTTTCTTTCTTTCTCTTAGAGCTGTAATGGGCATG